ACGTAAAATTGCGCCTTTTCGTGCTGCCATTCTTCAAAACGGAAAATGTTATGTTTAATGTAATGGTTTTTGAATCGAAATAGATTTAATCGCATTTTTTATTTATTGAAACACAATTCGTAAAAATGGGTATCCGTCTTTTATGTATATTTATAATAGAATTAATCTAAGATTAAAGTTATATATTTACTGTTTGCAGTTTAAAAGATAAAGTTATTATTCAGAAACAGGTTGTATTTTAACATCCATTTACATTGCACCATTAAAAATGACGTCTATAGTAGATTTCCACGCTTGTGCATTTGTCATATTAAATGTACAGAATTTGTAATGATTTGTGTGTGTAATTTTTTTTTGTTTAGGATAAATCACACAGCGCCTTCTAGAGTTAAGTTAAATTAAGTAAACCTTGTGTCATGGGTACTACATAACTGATACAAATACATAGATATATTTTTTTTCGTAAATACATACATTTTATACATATAAAACACCCAGATCGAATCAAACAATCATTCTCATGAGTACAAATATTTGTGCGGTGTGAGGAAACGAACCCGCGACCATCGGAATTCGGAAGTAAGGCGGTCTATTGCTTTACATATTGTTTATTTTATAACACATTGTAGGTAAACAAATTATCGTTGACAAATTAATAGAGGTCGAGAGATTAAAATTAAAAGTAGCAACAATGATTTTTTGTCCATGACACTCAATAGTCAAATAGATCCGGAAAATCTTACGAGATCTTTAAAAGCCGTCGAAGGTAAACGCCTATTACTAACGACGTACTTAGATACAAACCTTCTCTACTAATGTTTAAATTCAAACAAATTTAACTGAAACGCATTACAAAGAAAATTATTTTTTTATTTAAGATAAGCAGAGAGCACCATAACCTAGTGGCTGATATGCATCGAAAGGTCGTAAATTCGAATCTACTGACACAAAAAAACAGTATGTCAATTTATATTTGCGAGTTATTCTCAGGCGATGGAAACATCAAAAAGAAACCAAAACTAGTCCGAGATACGAGAGACAGTTGTAAGCTCGCACTCTACCATGTTCAAAATAGATTGAATACAAATTATTATTACCTATAGCTCACAAAAGCAACTAGCGAAATACCTACTAATTATATATACCTACCTAGATTTCTAAACCAGTAGTCCTCTTAGCATTTAAGTTTGAATGTTGAAATTACGTCTTGTTGAAAACTCTACCGATAAAGATCTATTTACCTTATAGGCAAAAAATATTTGACAAATAACCCTTTAGCGTCCTAAAACCTATAGATAGAAGCTAACACCTACACCTACTATTAACACAATATTAGTATTTAGTCGTATGGTCATGAAAAAGCGTTTCTAGTACCTATTTTCTGGTCAGGTGACATGCCTAATTATACCTTAACATTAACATTAAGTAATGATGTTATTAACAATTATTACGGATTACAATTGATGGGTTTGCAATTTTCTATTAACTATTTGAGAGTTGCACTATTCACAATAACAACTGGTTGTTTCTAACGTCTTTAAACAATTAAGATCCTGAAAAAAGTATCGGACTGAGGAATAGGTACAGTTGAAATACGGCTTCGCAAGGTTGTACATGTATTATATATATAAACCTCTTATATATATAAAACTCTACATGTTAAAAAAACCGCTTCAAAATCCGTTACCTAATTTTAAAGATAATATGCATACATAGGGACAGATAGCAACAGCGACTTTGTTTTATAATATGTAATGATATGCAAATCAAAATGCAAATAATATCAAATCAATGCGAAAGTAAAATATACCAAGTTAATGTTAGAAAAATAAATAATGTAGGTATAATAGTCGAGGTACATCAATACTTATTTACTTACTCATTTCATGAATTAATCTTATATATAAAATTCTCGTGTCACAGTTTTCGTTCCCATACTCCTCCGAAACGGCTTGACCGATTCTCATGAAATTTTGTGAGCGTATTGAGTAGGTCTGAGAATCGGCCAACATCTATTTTTCGTCCCCCTAAATGTTAGGGGTAGTCCACCTTATTTTTTATTTTTTATTTTAAGGCAAAACAACGTTTGCCGGGACAGCTAGTAATGTATATTTATTACATTTTTATGACTATAAATTGACATAAAGTTTTATAGGATTAACAAAATTCTATAGAAAACCGAACACCAGGTCAGGTGTATGATAATGGAATGGAGCACCCGCCTGCGCTAAAGGTATACGCTGGCGGGGCAATGGAGGAGGATAAGATGGGTATGAGGCCAGTTCTCATGGCTATTTGAATATAAATTTTGAAACGTAACCGCGCCCATTACTCGATAATTTATAAAATTATTTTTATTTTTTCACTACGCTTCTTACAGTACCTACGTTGTTTAATGGAATTACTTTACCGCCTAATGCTGATATGTCGTAGCTTCAAAATTATCAACAATAACTATAATCCTATGAGATACTAATTTATTATTTTAATATTATAAACTCATAAGTCTAACATAAGTAGAACAGTGGGCTAATTATGTAACACGATATGAAATTGTTTCTGTTGAAGTTGTGATGCAATATGAAATCATTTCAATTTAAAAAATGCGATCAAGTAAGGTCGAATGACCGCAACATAAATCATTTCTATCGATAAAACACTACTATGAAGTTGCAGCGGAATATTGTTAATCCGACCAATTTAAAAAGTCAGTACATTAGATAGCTTATACCTTTAGAGGGATACATTTTAATTTATTGGGTTGTTACACTAGTTGGTTGATTTGAAACAATTTTTATTGCGTTCAAAAATTACAAAATATACTGCAGCGTTCACTTGTTCTTTTATTTTAATTTTATTAATAGACATTTAATAAAATAAAATAAAGAAAGTCTATTCTATTCTAATGAAAAAATAAGTTTAATAATTTTGAATATAAAAGCATATTTTATACAAACTATTTATAATCATTAATAATATTAATCTAACCTACAAATTAAATTTTCTTTTCTGCTATAGATACCTAGGTAAGTACGTAGGTATCCATATAAATTTAAAATGATATGGGCACATCTTTTTAAATTTGTACATAATTGTAAAAACTTTAAACAAATAAATTTATTTACTTTAAACAAATCACAGAGCATCATAAACGTTGTATTCCGTTCACAGAGCACCGTATTCATTGAAATAGTTTTTTAATTATATTAATATCATAATCAACCCTAATTTTATATTAAACATTTACTCTAGTTAATACAACATTCTATGTGATTTGGGACGAAAATAAAATATCGAATTGGCAACACTGATGTCGTGTTGTGAGTCGTGACAATTTTCCCATTTTAATAAATTTAAAACCTTTTCATGACTTTCTACGTAATATTTAATATAATAAAAATATATGTAATACTGAAAATTACCAAAACAAGATAAATGATGCTGCTAATGCTGATATTTTAAAGATTGTAACCAAAAGAAACACCTTCTAAATTGTTTCTCATAATGTAAAAACCGTTTCAATTCCACGCTGTCATTTCGGCAAAATAGCGATTACGTGACGTTGCAACGAGGTTACTAAATCGACATTCGATAGAAATAATTTTTATCGATATGTAAAGTTGCGTTTACGTTGCAATGCTAGTTGACAGCGTCAAATGGCGTCTATATGATCGCATTACAGAGCGGTTTCAGGGAAGTTTCCTCCCGCGTACACTTGTATTGTGAAATGAACTACCTGAAACCTGAATAGGTTTTCTCTAGAGACACCAACATGAAATTTTTCATGAATGATATATTAGGGTTTCTTAAGAATCGGTAACGTGAACGTGACGGAACTAGTATTTTAGGCGTCCGTCGTTTACCATCAAATGGGTTTTATGCTTATTTGCCACTATTGTGGTATCATAAAAACTATCAGAATAACAATATTATTGTTACTATTATTGTTAATGTTGTCAATAATATATTCTTTAAATATATTTATTTTTGTTGTAGTATATAAATAAATAACAAGACATTTGTTTTCTGTTATTGTTTATAATAATTTCAAAACTTTAAATAATAACTGAATTTATTTTTATCAATTTATGACGATTTACCTATAGTAAACTCACAAATAAACTTTTAAAAATCTATTCACATTTTACTAACGAGCTCTATGTAACATTGTAAATTCAGTAGTTTGTAGTTTTATTTAAAAATTGCGATAAATGTATAATTATAAAAATTACCTTACTTACGATATTAAGCATGTAAGTAACTTGCAATACAAGTACAAAATATGTAAAACATTGAACTCAGTCACATTAACCACTTTAATTGCACCAAGATATATTTGTCCGACACTTTCTAACGTCCTAAATAAAAAATATAAAGTATATTTATGAAATACGCGTTTCACCGCGACCCTCAACGGGACAACAATGAGTAGCGTAAAGTAATACGCCGGTGAGTAAAATAAATATTTTCACATAGAATGGAGTCATCCACAACAGAGTTACTGAGCGCATTCGCGCAGAACGCCATCTAACAAACACTTTTGTAAACACTTCTCTATGAACTTTAGACGACTTGATCTATACGTTCGAGAGGTAATGAAATAGTGCCGAATTTTTCCCCCGTTTGAAAATTATATTTATACATAATTACATAGACTATATATTATGATATTTATAAAACTCACTTGGGTAGAAAGATTGTCTATTAACTAAGAATACAAAATAAAACTAGTGGTCTTAAATTTATAAGGCGCTAGGGAGTAATACACCAATGAAACACATTTAATTCTATTAAAATTTATTAATCATTTATATAACCATAATTATAAAGATAATGTTATAGAATTAATTACTAGAAATATAATTATATTTTTTTAATAGCAAACTATTACTAAAATAACTATAACCCTATAACTATACTGATAATGTGGCCATACATTAAATGCCAGAAAAAATTAAATCGCTTAGTATTAATTACACTTTTTTTAATTAAACGAATAAAACAGTTGGCATGTATTTACATGCCAACTATTTTAATAGTTAGCATGAACCTATATAACTATAGATGAAATAGATAAAAAAACATACGAAAAGAAAAGTATAAACCAAATCTTTATAAACTATTCCAAAATATTTACCATTGAATTCGATTTCTCCGAATCATAATTTAATTATATATCTAATTACTTCTCTCATTTAATTTAATTAAAAATCTCAATTATTCTTAATACGTACGAGTATATATTAATAAGAATAGGTATATTAATAAAAAGATGTCGTTTATTCAGGTGTCAACTACTCAAAGCGGAATATTATTTTTGAACAGATCCATAAGCGTCATTCTTGGTGCATGCTCATTGTGTATCTGCATTATTTCGGGTAGGTACATCTCCAAGCGATTATTTGCTGATCGTTTGCTCTCTTCGTGTAAAGTACTGTTCAGATGATTGGACAGAGTTTCCTCCCCGATAACCAAATTGCAATAACCGCAATGAAGTACATTGGGGCGTATCTGTAATAATTGCGTGGTTATTAAAATTTTTTTATTTGTTTGTAATTCTTTATTGTACAAAGGACACAATTAACTTATAAAATAAATGGGTACAATGGCGGACTTATGCCAAAAGAAGGATTTCTTACAGTCAACGTTTGACTGATTGAATGTCTGTAGGCAACAATATCTGGTGATTTTCAGGAACACCTCAACCTCTTGAATTTTCATTATTACATGAAATTCTCCAACTATATTACCGAGGTAGTCTTTGTAAAAAATTATCCTCGTGGGTGCCTTGTTTTCATCTAAATGGCTATGAGAACTTAATGAAATTTGATATGAAGGTAAATTCTATTAAGATGCTGGACACAGGCTTATCTCTTATTTTAGTTTACAAAGCAAGCTGCTGAAAATCAGAATAACGTTTCCAGCATTACTCTGAGTTGTGGTCCACATTGACTCTGTTTTACACAACAAACTGTATTACACATAAATTACAAGTAATTTACACACATTAATGTGTAAATTACTTGTAATTTATGTCATTATTGTTGTCTGCTCTACAGAAAGTCTATCGCGGTGGAACATTACTCATTACAAACATACTCGGTTAACACATATCATAAAGTATTAAAGTAACACAGGCGACATTGCGGGAAATAGCTAGTGGCTATTAATATAATAGTAAGGCTATGAATAAATAATCAGTCCATAGAGTACCCTGATCATACTGTGAACAAAAATTCTTCCCAAATACAATAACGGTGATATATTTTATTTTATTTAGATATATTTTTTCATTAAAAATAAAAGACATTATTCCCAGCCTTTTCATAGGTAGCTATCGTAAATTTGTTTCAGATAATATAAAAGCTGCGATAAAGGAATACTTAAACTTTTTTGGGTTTAGTTTCCGAACTGAAAAAGTAAATAGGATTTCTCAAACTAAAATAGTGTGAGCTACATACATGAATAACAAATCTACTATCATCATTAACATCAGCAATAGGTCATGTTTCTAATTGTTGTCACAAATATCTTTAAAAATATAATAAAACATCATACCTCTATCACGAATTCGTCATCTAAAGACGTCAAAACACAAAGACTCTGAAATTTACTTAGATGCGTCAACCGATGGAATTTGCTTTTATCCACACTAAACTGTTCATCACAAAGCACACACTTCAAATTATTGCCACATTTTGTGTAAAGTAAAAAACTAAAAGTATTGATGCAATACTTCTCATTGATAACAATATCTTTGGTAAATAAATTCTCGAAAACATCGACAATGTTAATAAAATCCTGCAGCGATGATTTTGCAGATGTGTTTAGCTTAGTCTGTCTCTGAATGCTTTTCGAATGTGCATCTCCTGTAATATGATCTTGTAAAACTTTCAAGGAGATATTTAGAGATTCACTGCATATACTACAATAATACTTGTTATTTTTCAAAATTAAAGCATTGTTTTTAGCAAATCTCTGGACATCTTCAAGTTTATCGTCCTTATTTTCTTTACCTTTGCTTTTCTTTGTCTTTGTGACTTTATGTTGATTGTCACTGTTGCTGTCTTTATGTTCGGTGTTTAGACTCTTATTAGTCTTATGACCTTCAAGATGACTTTTGATAATTTTGTATTGAAAATCTAAATTGTCGGAACACCGTGAGCAGTAAGCTGTGCGCATTTCCAAATTTATTTTTACACCACTTTGTTCAAAGTACATTATAGAATCCATCAAATCGTCAGATACAGGATCAACTACAGAAGAGAGAATAAAGTAGAAGTAGTAAGTAGTATTTTTCACCTTATCTAAGTGGTAACCGGCGCCTTATACATGCACAGCACAACGGACACTGAAACGTATTTTTTTTTATACTACGTTGAACATGCATACAGCCCATCTGATTATAAAGACTTGTCCTAGCCTATGGACGCCTGAAACACTAGAGGTGACGTACGAGTTGCGAACCCTTAAGAAACTTTAATATAGCCTTCTCGAAAAACCCCATGCTTATCTCGAGAGAACCTCGGCAGGTCATTACAAAATCTAAGTATACGCGGGAGTAAGCTCCTTTGAAACCGCACTGTCCGAGGCCATTTAGGCTACGGCGATGAATTCACACGATACAAGCCCATAAGTTTGCAATGTGCCCTCAGTGATGTACATTTTTTTATAATACTGTAACATATTTTATTAAAAATAACAAATATACGGAAATAAAATTAGTTAATGTGTGCTAAAAAGCAGGCTAGTTTTATGCACACACAGGGTCGTCTATCATATAGTAAATAAAATGTATGTTAAATTTATACCATGTATATAATATTAAAATCCACCATCAAATATATTTATGATTCACAGAGAATAATAATAGTTTATTATATTTTGCAGATTATACGCAAATTATATCGTTAAAAGATTAGATGGAGTAATTGAGTGTTGTGCTCAATTAAAGTGAAATATTAAACAATTGAGGGTAGGTATCAGTACCCGTTATTTATAAAAAGGAGTAAAATATACATATTGTTTCTTTTTATAATTAAGTGTTCTTCATAATAAAATAAATATAATATTTAATAAAATCATTTTGATTTTATACCCCTGATGTGACTACCATAATTTGCTGTTTCTACTTACTGCTCTGTTTTGTGGGATCAACTGTAGAATCTTTATTGTTCGTGTTCTTAATGTCTAATTCCGCCTGAGTATGAGTTTCTTTCTCCATACGTTCTTTGTGCAATTTTAACAGCGTAGTATGGTGATACGACTTTAAGTGTGAAGCAACTACATTGGCTTCCAAAATCCAGTCACAAATCAAGCACCAATTCTTATTGTCTGAACACAAGATATAATTTTTAGCGCCTAATTTATTGCATATGTCCTGATCAATGTCGGCATACATTTTCTCTACATGCTCATTGATTTTTTTTTTGTTTACAATCTCTTTTGTTTTTGTTCCATTTTTATGTTCGTTAGTTTGTTTCTCATTCCTCTTTTGATCGGTAATAGTGTCAGTTTTTTTCTCATTCCCCTGTTCATCGGTAGCAGTGTCAGTTTTTTTCTCATTCCCCTGTTCATCGGTAGTGGTGTCAGTTTTTTTCTCATTCCCCTGTTCATCGGTAGTAGTGTCAGTTTTTTTCTCATTCCCCTTTTGTTCGGTAATAGAGTCAGTTTTTTTCTCATTCCCCTGTACATCGGTAGTAGTGTCAGTTTTTTTCTCATTCCCCTTTTGTTCGGTAATAGTGTCAGTTTGTTTCTTATTCCGCTTTTGTTCAGTAGTAGTGGGAATAATTGTAATACGGGAATTTTCATATTTCTTTGTATGCACCTTTAACTCAAAGTGAGCAGAATCCACGGCGTCGTTACAAGTCAAACATTGAAAGAAATTGTCATTAATCTGAAAAAATATTGATAAATTAGAGGATATAAGAAATATAATATGTAAATAAAATAAACTACTGCCCGCGTAACAATGAAACTGATATTCTATATATTCTAAATGTAGACATTTAGAATATCGATAACAAATAGTTAAAATCCTTTATTATCCACTAGAATCCAAAATGGTGGATGCTGAATCATTTAGGATCAAACGTTCCTCTTTTCTAGAATTACTGAATGCCGTAGTACTTCTAGAGCTTACTGTACCGTGGGAAACAAACATAGTGAAGTAAGCGTTGATGTGCATCGAAAAGAGCCCCCATAAAACTACACCCGTGTCCCAAATCTCGAGATATACCCAAAGTTTTCCTCTCTGCTACACGAAAACCCGGGTAACCCGGTAGACTGTAAGAAGTCCTCTGCGTGGGTACCAGTAGTCTCACCTAATTCAGCTGCCAAACATTTTGTTATGAGAGACATGACATCTTGGTTCTCTAAAGGTGTCGCCAGCAGTGCTGTTCATATACATATTTATGCAACAGTTACCGTTTACCTTCAGATAGACCGTCAGCTTGTCTGCTATTCAACTTACATCAAAAAAACCAGCACAGTGAATTTTTGAATGGAATACTAATATTTTAGTCTCAAATTTCCTAGTAACAATTATTATTATCATTTTACCTTTCTAAACGCTGCCGTATCTCGAAACTCAATTTTGCTTTGTATCAAATTCAAAATATGTTTCTTGTCATTTTGGTGTTTAGTTTCATCATCAAAGTCCTCGTCACACATTAAACATGTTTTATCTGTAAAGCTATTCCATGTTTTTTCATCGATAGGAATTTCATTACGAATTAGAATTAAATTCCCATCACGTTTTATAAGACTCTTGTTTGAAATGTGGCCTGCGTCAGCGACATGAATTTTTACTCTTGTACGCGATGTATACAGTTGATTACATAATTCACAATAGTATCCAGCATCGACCTGTAATAAACATTGACATTACATGATTAGTGTTGTCTTATATATCTGATGACTTGGTGTAAAATAAAATGTACTACACAAACTAAAAGTATTATGCAATTACAATCATATATTATGGATTCAGATTTTTTAATCAAATACGCGCTACTACGCGCTACTGCGCTCTACGCTCCAACCTGCATGTTGTATATAGCGCGGTATTCAAATTCACCTACGAGCGTTTTTCAAATATAGGTTAAACACCTACAGTGTTTTTAAAGACATACCGGAAAAGTATCAATTTTTTCGGTTTACAGATAGACATACATACAATTTAGTTGATAACACTTATATATACACAACTAATGAAGCCCGTGTTATAGTGATAATTTATTGCTGACCATGTAGGTATACAAAACTACTATAAGCATGTTTTATTATAGACCACTTTTTGCGACAATGAAACACTGTTTTAACATCGGTCGCTAATCGGGCGTTTCATATTTCACGTAGGACCGCGGATTAAGTCATCAAGAATACACAAGTAACACATCGACACCAGTATCAATAGACCTAGTTATAGCAAAGTATTAGTAGTCATTTAGTTAATTAAATCTATTTATATATTTTACAATTTAATTGAATCTACAGATAATAATAAAAATTAAATATATTGGTATTCTACTATTTGAAGTAGAAATATGAAATCTAAAACTATTATATTATTCATATTTTTTACTTCTGATACCATTTGATAAAAGCACCGTTATGTCAGTGAACCCTTACCTTTCTGATGAAATCTTCCTTCATGTGCATGTGCGCGGCCTTCAACTTTTTCTCATGGTCCTGTATATTTATATGCACTTCGACATCGTCAACGGTTTTCATATACTCCTCACAGACAAGACAGTAATAGTCTATGACACCAGAATACACAGCATTTTTGTTAAATTTAGACATCGTTTCGAATTAACAATCTGAAACAAACACAATAAGCAATTTAATGTTGACAAACACCCTAATTCAAAAGAGTAATATGTAGGTATATTGATTTATATGGTATGTATCACACTTTAATCATTTTGATACAATATCTATTTACGTATTAGTATTTTATTATTCTATTTTCTCTTATCGATAATCTAATCTAAATATTTGAATTTCAGGTAAAGTACCTCATATACATACAGTCATATATCATACATAGATAATATATAGATTAATAAATGTCGAATAGCTTCTTCTTCTTCCAAGAGAATAGCAAACAAGCTCACAACACACCTAACGTAAGTAAGCGGTAACCGTCATATATATTGTACTTATATACCTACACGAATAGCATTACGTTCATCACGCTATCATGTGACGCCCTTAAAACCATACTTGCTTTGTCATTCTAGAGGACTAAGATATCATCTTTTTCTGATCTACTATCTTACCTGGTTATCCCTTACCTTAATGGTGTTATTAAGTATAGTATAAAATTTCGCATACGAATTCTTGGGATGGTTTCTAAGTGATTTGGCGTACAACGAGGAATCTGTATTCGCCTTGAGGAGCTCTATTCTGGATACTTCCGATACATGATCCGAACTTTCCCCCGTCCAATTCAAATTGAGATTACGACATCCTGAGTCGAGGCTCGAATCTCTATACCATCAAACTAAAGTCGTATCCGTCAGTCGGGAGTTGGCCTTCAGCGGATCCATATCCACGGATATGGAGTGTTATCTGCACGCGCCCTATCGTTCCGTGAAGCTATAAAGGCAAACTGCGGCCAACAACATTAGAAAAAAAAGGACGGCCTCCTAAGGTGGTAAACCTACATTTAATTTTTTTCTTTTAGACGAAGTTTGTAACTTCACCAATCACTTTTACAATAATCTATACATATACATAAAATTGGAGTGTCTGTTTGTAATATTGAAATAACCGATTTTTACTAGGTACATGCATATGAATATAAACACGGTACATACACCAAAATAACATTTTTTACAATTTTTGTCTGTCTGTTTGTTCCGGGTAATCTCTGAAATGGCTGGACTGATTTTGACGGGACTTAGCAGGTCGCTGATGTAATAAGCAGAAACTTAGGCTACTTTTATTTTAGAAAAATATAGTTAAATTCCACGAGGACGAAGTCGCATGTACAGCTAGTATATGTATAATAAAATAAAATTAATGTTTGACGTAATTTATAAATGGAATTGATAGTATTGTGATTATGATGTACTACAGTACATCATAATCACATAATTAGGTATTTTAATATGTTCGGAAATTAGATTACATAAAAAGTTACAACTTTTTATGTAATCTAATTTCCGAACATATTACAATACCTAATTATAATCTGACAATTGTTTTACATTTAAATCTATACAAAAATTGGTACTCATAAGTACTACTAATACCTATACACTACAAAAAAAACTATGCTATTACTGTTTTCTTTACTACCTACTTATTTACACTGATAAATCAAGTCACATTATCAGTTATCTAGTATAGTAGGTACTTAGTCAGTTCTTGGAAAGAATTACAGAAATCAACATGTTCACCAAGCCTAAACAAAATTCCATGATGTGTCTTAGTATTAATTAAACTCTCCTCTCCCTTCTTCTTGGTGATACATGTTGAAGCATAATTCCCCCCCCCCCTCTCTCTTTCTTTTCAAGCCTCACATGGACGGCCCATCACCAATTCATTGAATTTTTGTAGGAAACAAATTATTTTATTTAATTATTTAAAATGTTTAATGTGAAATAGTACTAAAAAAGACAGTAGCCCTGGATGACGTAGATCTTGTACCAAACTAAGCTAAGCAGAACTATGACTATTGGTCATTAACCTGTTCTACAATACAAATTCTTAAGTTCTTTTTAGTTCAAAGTATATATGCTGCAATATATAATATAGGGAAGATCATTCAGAAAAACTCATATGGACTCATGAACAAATGTTTGTATTTTGCAATAGAACTCACAACCAACTGGTGAGACAGTGTGTTAACCACCACACTACCAATGTTATCAATGAAAAATAATAAAGTATATATTAATTGAAGAAAACAGTTATGATTTCCTTGGCCTTTTAACATTGTTGTGGCATTCCATACACTTTAAATTGTAGTAAAAAGCTATAAAGGAAAGTAAAAAAATACAATGGGTTATATTACAATGGATGGATTTCATATTTTATATGGTTCATAGCATTTGTATGAACATATAATTGTAATAATAATGAATGTATAATTGTACAGTTTCCAATTGCATCTATGAAATGGTCCCTTTGTATATTGCAGAATTGAAAATTTTAATGTGTTACACTTACAATACTTATTTTATAAAATAAAATACTCACCCTACCTTGCATTTTTATTTTGGAAGTTTATAAATTTGTAAAGAAATATCCGGAACTGTACATAATGCGCAAAAATGTAGGCTTCAATTATGGGTTGCGTAACAATAAAACATTAGAATTACCTCAAATTACTAGAGGCCCATTGTTATTATCTGGTAAATATTTATCCGACTCCCAACTTCTATAAGAACTTTGAATATTTATAAAATATTTAAAGGAGTTACTATTTAATAAACAGTATTATAATGTAAGTGAATATTTAAATGATATACTTTAATTTCCATGTAATATACTAATATTTATTGTATGACTAATATTAAATCATATGTTATGATTAGTTATATGTAACCGAACAGGGTCCATAATGACCTAAAACAAATGATGAACATCTTACTGTAATATTATGGAATGCAATAAATATTGAGTGCAATAAATTGTGAATGTAAAAAATTCAATATTGTAATTTATGTTTGGACATTTTTATCATAAAAAATACATTTGAAAATGACAGGATTAACTAATAACTATTTCTAATAATAGTATAAAGCAAAGTCACTGTATTCATATGTTTGTTTTCCTGCTTGCTTCTTCCAAACCACAAATAGATATTAATGATGTTTACACATACAATTCGTTAATAAGGAATTTATTCTAGGAAGATCATATTGCACAAACTATGCATACCTCTATCACATACAATGTACACAGGGTACAACTGTGTCCAGCAAGAGTGGGTCTATAAGTCAGTATTTTAAAGATATATTTTTTATTAATTATCCTAATGATTTCGGCTATAACCGGCCTTTACAGATCCGCCAGATGAAAAATAGAAGTCAATACAGACAAATTGCTAGCAAAACACTTATGGGGCGGTTGCAGGCCAACACCTATCCGACTTTTACGACTTCAGACTAAGGGTACCGCTAGGAGCTTTTACCTCAGCACGTAAGTAGTAATCGCTATTCCCATATGAATGAAATAGGAGCTCATCTGGATGTTGGTTTTTTTCCGAAAAAAACAATTATTTAACTAAACATAATAAGTGTTGAATATTTTGTTATTGCTTACCTGTAATAATTAAAAGAAGGGGAGCAGTAATACTTAGAATTTTATGCCTATATTGATGAGAACCAAAAGTATACTGATAGGATAACTGAACTTATCATGAAGGAATTTAAGAATACTATCAAAGTGGGAGTTTATTTCAAGTACATGGGAAGCCCCAATATGGTAATGTTACTGGGTTGCCAACTATAAAAATGTAGCTTTGTAGAACGGAGCTATAATCATTGAGCACATAATCACTACAGCTAAAATATTGGGCTGAATTTAGAAAAATTGAATTATAGTGTGTTTATTAATCTTGGATTGAGAGGAGATGGATTTTTATTTTCGGGTTTTATGGAAAAAAATTGACGGAAATCCGAAACACTATATGGCAACAATAGCATATAGTCGTATCTCACATTTCGTTATTTTGTTTACTACTATTACAGTACTACCATATTATTTTATCTGTGCTATTAATAAGAGGCAAAGTAGAGATGTGCTAGCTCGTAATAAACATGACTCGGGTTAACTCGAGTTGGCTGGAATAAAGAATATTTGTTAATTTTTCGAACACTTCTATGTTTCTGACCGCAGCTGGCCTTGACAGCTCCACCGAACTCTAGGGAGCGCCTAGAAACGGCATGTAGCAGTGTGGTTATCCTCATCACTGTAGCGTTATATATGCTGTGATGAGGTGGCGCCACATAATATATTATTTATTGTAGTATGTAGGTAGTGAGTATACCGGTAAAATGATTGTACGAATTTATTGTACGAGTGTATTGGTAGCGTGGTACATGGCTTATTAATAACGCGTATAGTCGACGCGGAGTCGGGACGTAATGATGTAATGCTTTTACACTTCCCTATTTAAAAATAAAAAACAAACAAGTGACAACCGCTAATTTAATCATTTTAATGATAACATAGCCTCAAACCTGAGAGATTTGTGACGTCTGAAAATTATATGACATTAAGTGATCGGAAAACTTGATGTCAGTTCGACAATCGAATCACGCTTTCGCTCTTTCACTTGATTCGCCAACTCCAATTGGGAAAATTCAACTCGAGTTAACTCGAATTCAACGCAACTCGAGTTAACTAGTTATAGTAGTAATTGCGCAAATTGCAGGTGAACCAATTCAGTTTTGAAATTATTACAATTACCAATACAAAAAAATCGATTCTCCTTCTAGCACGAACTATCGATTCTCTGAATGGATCCAGTGCTATAAATCAAGCGGCGATCAATCGTCATCTCTCACCCCATCCGATCGATCCCCCGTCCAATTCAAACGGGGATCGACATTACGACGCCGCGCCGGCCTGAGCCGAGGTTCGAACTCCTAGTGGTGCCCTCAGACTAAAGTCGTATCCGTCAGGCAGGACTTGGCGTTCAGCCGCTCCATGAGTCCTTCCGCGGATATGCAGTTAGAGTAATCCGAAAAAAAAAAAATGTCATCTCTATTCTGTGGTCTGTGCAATCTGTGGTAAAAACTAAAAACAGTGTGCTTGTCTGCTTGTGTCATATATCTGTATTTCATTGAAATAGCGTCGTTTGATCTTTAAAACTAGTTTAATAAAAAAAATAGAAAAATGTAAGTTAATCTTATTATTATGTTTAATATATATGTTATATAATTGTAATTTTAAATATTTCGAAATCCTATAATTAATTTTCAGGGCAACTACTACCAAGCCACGCTCAGAAATGACTCTCGAAGAGTTGGCCAAAATAGAAGAGGAAGAATTCAGCACAGGCCCTCTTTCCGTACTCACGCAATCAGTGAAAAATAACACACAAGTATTGATTAACTGTCGGAACAACAAGAAATTGCTTGGTCGCGTCAAGGCGTTCGACCGGCATTGCAACATGGTGTTGGAAAACGTAAAAGAGATGTGGACAGAAGTACCAAGAACAGGAAAAGGGAAGAAGGTAACGTATTTAATAATATATCTTGGCCGTTTATGTTGTAATTTCTTTTTTACACAATACGTTTAAAGTTTTTCCCTGTAAAGAATCTTTAATTTGCTTAGTACCACAAATCAATTTATTAGTAATGAATATGAATCTTTATACTATATATTTAACTTTTAATATATTTTGTATTATACTCTAGTCTTTGGTTTAAATTGTGTTCTTAATAAGGGTAACAAAGTGTAAATCTCTTAAAGGTTAGGCTACTTAACATTGCTATCACAGAATACTGTGGACCAGAGTTGCCAACCTTAAAACATTCAAACTCGTATAAAAAAAATTAAGTTTTATTTTCTTGTAAGTTATCTCAATTTGCCTATCTAACCATTAGAACTACATAACCTCAACAAATACACATATTTTGATGAATTTCCATAGTAAAATAGTATACAAACTGATACAAAGATGTGAATGTAGGCAGGTAAACCGAAGCAAATCTCAATCAATCAATTTGTACAAGGAATTGGATACAACTGTCATCTCAGTTGTGGATTCGCAGAACTCTGTATAACGCAGAATAATGCATGTTAATATATTTGTATAGTGAATTAAACTATTAGGTCGTTCGGAAAGTAGTTTTTCTTTTCCTAACTTAGGATTTAATTGTATTTTTTGCACTCAACTTCACACTCAAGCCGTATAAATTTTATATGCTTTGAGAGCCCATATAGCAAGGCTTGTGTGTGAAAAATTACAATTAATTCTATGCAATAGTTTTGGTTGGTGTCCTTTTAAATATGGAGAGGAATACGCAGCATTAGAAAGGGCAAAAATGTTGTTCAAGCCAGTAAGAAATTGACCGATGTGTGTGGAGAAGGTGTGTTAACAGTATGCCAGTGCTAGACCTGGATGGCTACATTACGATCCGGCAATTTTGATGTCGAAGATGCACCACCCTCGGGAAGGCCGGTTGAAGCTGATAAAGGCACTGGTTGATGCGAACCGGTGAATAACACAACACATTGGATGGGATTGAGGTTAAATTTATCAAATTTAACAATTTATGACCACTTGAAAGGCCTGAAATGTTACTTACAACATTCCAGGCAAATTTAGCGAACCAGTTCTGGCATTGGCGTACTGTTAACACACCTTCTCCACACACATCGGTCAATTTCTTTCTGGCTTGAACAACATTTTTGCCCTTTCTAATGCTGCTTATTCCTCTCCATATTTAAAAGGGCACCAACCAAAAACTACTGTGTAGAATTAATTATAAGTTTTCATTCTCTAAATGTCAAATGACATTTAAAGTCATCTTAAATAATCTAACTGCATGTAGAAAATCAATATAAATTTCTAATGGATTAAATTTTTTTTCAGGGCAAAGCAGTCAACAAAGACAAGTTTATTTCTAAAATGTTCCTCCGAGGTGATTCAGTCATATTAGTACTAAGAAATCCACTGGCAACAGCTGCTGGGAAATAGAATTAACATTTTGTAATTAATGCCCAGATCATTTATGTAGGTTTTCTGAACATGTCATTACCTATATTTTTTTCTAATATTATTTCCAGGGATTTAATTAATATTGCAAAACATGCAAATGTTCTTATGTAGATTTATCTATGTCCTATGAACCTATATAAATTATCTGTCTCCACAAGGGCTTATACGTCAGAATTGTTACATTAAAATTTTTCATTCAACTAAATGTTATATGGCACACCTAGTACATTGTATTAACTGAAAAGTAAAAAAACCCTTTTAAGGTGTACCTTAAAGGTGTGTTTTCAGATATTTGTTATTCTTGAGTTAATTCAGTATTGTACTGGATGTGCAAATTATGTGTTTTTCAGAACCATTGTAATATTGTATAATGAAGACAAGATTTAGCCCAATATTATCTAAGTTTCATACAATAAAGTATTTTGTAAGTACATTGCAGTTTTTTTATACTTTGAGAGTGTTACAACCACACTTGACAGTGTGAAGTATGATCAGTGGGGGGAAGGGGATTGTTAGTAATGTGGACTAATGATCCCATTGCTAGCAATGTACCATGTCAGATCGACCTCCACGCGGTTCCCCCTGGAAACCGTCGTGATACATTCCCGGTGAATTTGTCACGTTGGGTTAACTGATCTGACTTCATGTTCATCTAATCATCCTCCACTGGTGCCCCGCCAGCGTAAACCGTTAGCGCAGGCGAGTGCACCCTTCCATTATCATCCTTAAAAAAAAAGTATAATTAGCTTTAATAAATATGGATATAGGCAAATCTGACTAATAAGCATAGTTCTAGGAAGGAATATACTTTCTATTTTAATGTTTTGGCAAAACTCTTTAGAAAGAACAAGTTTTAAACAGTAAAATTAAAGCAACTAAATAATTGATATATTCGATTAGCCACTAGATATACATTTTGTTCAAATTTCTAACTGACTGAACTTACTTATCAAAGATAGACAGTTGTCCATTTCCCCGTTTATATATGTTTATATCTATATATTATTGTCATTCGACATGTTTCCTAGAACTTATTTCGACTAATCTTTATGTAATTGATAAAAATTTACTCCTAGTTTTAACCCATACAAAAGAAAATATATATAGTTTTATGTGGAACAAATATGATTCTTTGTTTGAAACTACATATAGTTTGCAAAATACAAGTTTTTAAGTAACATAAAAGATATTATGATCTGTTTACATAATTTTGAAAAATAAGAACCACAAGAGTATTTGATTAACGTTTATTTTAATAGATTTCCACTATTTTGCACAAATCTCAAATAATAATTAGAAGATAAATCAAAGGTACATCACGTACGATCTCTTATACAAACTTAAGTGCAATAAATATAATATAATGTTGTAAATAATTCACAGTCTTGCAATAAAAACACAAATTAGGCTACTCGTTTTGATGCTGACAAACTAAATTAATCAGTGACACATTGATGCATGGCATCAATGGAGTACTATGTATCATAATAATAGAAGAGTAGCCATTTTTAGATTCAGTGTATAATCTATTATATATGTTCTAATACACAACTGCAATAGTATCAATAAGTATTTATTTTCTTCTATTCTCCATTACAATAATATTAAGTATTTAATTAGACCGTAGGTAGATCGCCCAGTTCGCTAGTTATTTCTAGGCGTCTCTCTTGATCACATAATTTAAATTAGTATTAAAATAATTTTCATTTCTTTGGTTATACTTAGAATAATGTGCTTTTCAAAACACAAAAATAGATTAGAGAATTATTATGATTTTCATTATACAACATAATTGCCAACAACCGGCCTTATTACTGATCATTCTTTTTAAGACCACCTTAAGATAACGGATTTGAGTGTCGAATAACTAGGTATGCAAATAAGGAAAAAGGAAGTCATACTAAATGGGTAAGAAAACAATATTAAGTCTAAAAATGTATATACTTTTATACAAGTAACTCGATGAAACTAGAAAAGAAATGTAAAAATTATCACAACTATTACCAAAACATCAGTTGTTAAGGATAGCTGGATATGTATTTTTTTCAGAGGCGTTTGTTTATTTATTATGCCATGTTTCAAAATAATAGCCATATATTTATATCATATACATATATATACATAAATTAGTATCAATTGTAGATTATTAACATAATCAGATGACGCATATTCAAATGTATCAGCAAACATTATAAAAATAGTGCTTTAAAAACTAATCAATTTTCTAAAATGGCAGTGCTTAAGCTTGAAAATAAACACCAATAATTAAAAATTATTGAAATTCCATATGAAAGAAAATTAAAAATGTCAAATTCGTCGTCAATTCAGGAATGATAAGAATTGTTATTTTAATCGTCAATATTTAATTCTATATAAACGAGTCATAATGTCCGATCTCATAAGATAAATAATCGTAAGTGGATAGTACTATTTGCTCCTTCTATGGCAAATTGAGCACTTTATTGAGACAGAAATCAGACTGAAAGGGATCATGAATATTGCTAGACTATTTGTTCAAGAAGAATTTTATTAAGCACCATACATTTTGTACCAAACTGGCAGTGAATGTTATTGGATAACAATAGTATCTAAATAATGCATTCCGGTCAATTGTACGAGTAAATGCTACTAATTTAAAACTTGCTTTTAGCACCAATAAATGGAATAACTTAGTGTCAGGCTCATTATAGGGAGTTGTGCCGAATATCGATGTTATTTAATCATTTCTATTTAGGCGTTTACGCTAACATTCGAAAGCGACCGGCGATATGCTGCAGCTTTAAATGAGCCTAGTGATTAAAGAATAATACTCGACGTATTTACGACGCAAGTTGATGAATATAACAACAGTTAATAATACATATTTGGGTTACCTGAAAATTACTACTATAGATTTACACTGTTTACATCTTACTTATGGTACACGGAAAATAAAAAATAAACCGATGTTTATTATACACCTTCTTGGTTAAATGTACAGAATAAATCTAAATGACTCGAATATTACCTTATTTCTTTCATTTTCATATGTTGACATTACTAGCTAGACATTGTTGCTTGGTTTTTATATATAGAAAGGGTCGTGCAAAGAATCTGCAATCACAGTAACATTGTTAAATGGAAGAGACTAAAATATTAATCTTCACATTTAAACTTGTTTGTATACATAAAGTACATTTAAAAGTCTAATAAAAATAATATTCAGTCAGTATATAAATACATGTTTTACATACTTACTGAATATTAATAGGGTAATAGAACAACATTCAAGTATAAGAGGAACCTATTCTAAGTTATTCTAAATCTATGTTTACTAGTCTCTAATTTTAGGAATAGATAATAACATTTAAAACTACGCCGAATCGATCGCTTTGTACTGAATTCTACAATGTCAAGATATATGTGGATAAATTTTAACAAGTGATCATGAGTGCACACGATCTGACGCGCATTATCGAACTGATCATTTTTGTCTAATTTTTAAGTGTATTTCTTTCTTTCCTGTGCCTTTTTGATTCAGAGAAGAAATAGTGTCGTGTAAAAGTTAATTTTTTAATATAAAAACGCTAAACGAGCGTTTTTGGAATGAGCAATTGAAGCAAATTAGGGGTAGAATAAGCAAAGGGAAATGCGCGAACGGGCAACACCGACGCCCTTTATCGTATTCCTTCTCTACTAATTACATGCCTAGTACGTAACATTATCATATATTGATAATGGCTATATTATGTATAGTAGATATTATTATTATTAATTTATCTATAATATGATACATTATATTTTTTATATTTATATATTACAGTGTCGACACTCTCATGGATTACTATACTTTAGCTGCCATATTATTTTCATTAAAAGAATATTGTATAATCTCTTGTATTTTTGTAGCAAAATAAATTAGACGGAGGCTTATTGTTTGCACTTACTTATCTTACTTAATACATTATTTTCCCAAATATCACGCATTTCTTTGAACACAGGCCCTACATTACTTGTACATAGATTTTTACATAATATTCTTGTATAAAAATATGTTGAAATTATAAATCATTGTCAATTATTTAAACTCTGGACTAATACAATAAATTTAATTTTCATGCGTGAGAAAAGCCGTTAGCGTTTAATTTTTTAATAAAAAATTAATAATACAAGATATAAAGTAAAATAAATTAAACTTTTCCCAAACATGAAGTTGCTGCCTATTCGAGTATTTTAAGAGATCACTAAATTTATTACAATTCTTTAGTTACATAGACATTTCAAATTAGCAAAATCCATACAATTTACAATCATATTATTACAAAAATACACTCCGCAAATTTTAATGAAAGGTATGCTTCTAAAAATAATAATTTCATTTCTATTTTCCCGTTCACAGATTTAAAATTTATATTCTAGAGCATAATATAGAAAATATAGTTACAATCAAATTTGTCATTTTGTAAAGGAATTATTTTTTAATATTATTATATTTTCTTTATAAAATAAACTATTGTTATACATTTTACTTTATTTCTTTAAAAATGGTTATAATATTGACCATTATATAGAACTGAAGGTTTTATTATTTTAGTTTGCAGTTTTTACAATCTTCGTATCTATAGGTAATATAACGACAATTCATTGTGGTAAACGCAATGTATGATAATATCAACTATCATCGATCGAAACAATAAACCGTAATACCATTTTTGTTATGCAGAACTTACTGTACTTTGTCACCATAAAATAGATTTATTAACAGGTCGTATCAATAACCCATTGTAATGTAACACTTTTAAAGTGTATGTTGTACTTATAAATGTTATTTTTTAAAGCACTCAAGCTGTAATTAAAATGTCTTTGTTTATATTTTATAGACTAGATATTTTGACATTTTAATTTAAGTTTAACATAATAAATTTGAAAAGCAATTTAATAATTTTGAACATCGATACAGAGAAAACCCACGTTACACAGTCAGAATATTAATATTTTGTAAATAAATTACCATGTTCTTTATTAAGTTAGTGACGTTTTGCAGTATACTTATATCCACATCTTGGGCTTATTATATTTTTTACATTGTCCTTTAAATTTATTAAAATCTGTTAATCATGTATTCGTGATATCGACAAACTGACAGACAAAATTTATCTACTTTTATTATTTTATCCAATTCATATTATGGTTCCTTATCATTTCATAAATGAAAACCAAAGAATCTTTCTGCAATAATTTGTCTGGTATAAAATAAAATCAGCTTTAATATTTGTATACTTGGACTAAGAAGAATAAATGACAATTTTCTATTTAAAAAAAAATTGTAAATTAGCGTTTCTATTATAAAATACTTTACTAGCATGTAAATCCATGACAATGAGCATTTATTCTTATTTATCTAGAAATTAAAATATTATGTTACATTCGGTAATTCATGAGCAACAGTCGCCAGAGCCTCGTCCGTTTATTAGCAGGGTGCACCACATGCAGGTGAGGTTGACTTTGGCCTCAGAATGTTGGCCACTTGCACCCCAAATACATAATTTTCCCATAAATTACCGAAAATAACATATATTATAATACCCTATGGTATTGCAATTAAATATTTCACAATTACTCATCTCTTGATACAAAATGTACGATATTTGTCATATTAAAGCTGATTTTACCTTTACAGCACAAAAATGCAACATTCGTCAGAAAAATACCGAAGCCATTACTTAATTCGTTCGAAGCTACACTTGCATATCTTCAGTCATGTGTAATATACACATTTTCAAAATAATTGATACCAAATTATTCTAAATTAAAGCCTATTTTTTCGCTGTTGTAATCTCTTTACCAAGCGATTTTCTATTTTCGAATTTTTGCTGCAAACTGGCAACGTTCGAAGGTTTCGATATCAACTTTGTTGGATTTGATTTGACGCCAGAATCTGTCCGTTGCAAACTGACTGTGGTCGGCTTAGGCACGACTTTGGGTTTATTTTTGTTTAAATTATCGGCTATCGCCTTAACGTTTGAATCCACTTTCGAGTTGACACGATTTATGGGCGGATTTTTTTCAATTAAAACTTTATTGAGATTCGTTGTAGGTTTTATTGCGGGTGCAGACCTGAGAGAGGTTTTTTTCTCGACCGTCGGTGCTGGTCGCAAAGGAGGTCTATTATCATTAGATTTAGTCGTCCCGCTGGGCTTCATAGCAACTTTTGGATGCTCGATAGGAACTTTGTTGTTATTGATAACATCAGGTGCTTTTACGTTTTTCACATCTGCCACTGAACAGCTCGACACTAAGTCCGGACTATTAGTAATGTGTTTCTGATTTAAATTCACATTTTTGTTCGTAATTTTCGGTGACTGTGGCACGTTTCTAAAGGTACTCGTATTTTTGAGACCCGGTGGTGTGACTTGTCTCGTAAATGTGGGAATCTTTGAGTTAGTTTTCAATGTAGGAGAAGACGGTGGCTTATCGCTTTCTTTCGTGTCGTCGTTTCGTGTGTCATCTTGTTGATAAGTCGGAACATTCACAGCAGACGGATGTAGGTATCCGCTACTCGTTGTAGACGCGTTCGATTTCGCACCGGAATTACTATATACACTCTCCGGTGTTTTATAGTGGTCTGTATTCATGTACGTACTATCTCGGCCGCTTTCAGCATTCTGTTCCTTCTTTCCTTTCTTTCTCGAAAGCGTAGACGCTGAATAAATAGAATCGAAATTTCTATTTTGTATTTCGTTTACGATTTCACCTAACAATCCCACACTGTCGGCACTGCCCGAGGTGGCGGGAATATTTTTAGGTGCCGTGTAGCCTTCAGGGGGCGATTGTGATTCTAATTTTACTTGTACTGTACCACCCAAAGGCGATTTTACAGGAGACTTCACAGGACTCTCCTCAATAATAGCATATATATTGTCACTAGATTCTTCATCTATGTGTGCTAATGGAGCTTGTTTTTCCTCGATACAGTCCACATAATCCGTGCTTTTGATATCATTCTGCGTCGAGTTTTGGTATGATTGGAGGGATTCATTGGGTAGGGGTGGTGGAGGTGCCGTAGGTCGGCCAACTATAGACACTGGACGAGAAGCACCAGCCGCTTGTCTCATTGAGCCAAAGCTCTGAATAAGAGGCTTTTGTGTTGCTGGCGCTCGCATGCTCTGAGCTCTATTCACGAATGGCTTGGCATCGTCGGCGTCCTCTGAATCCGACACGACTGGCACCGTACTGACGGGAAGCTCTATATCCTTTTGCAATATAGGATTTGATATCTGAAGATTTCTTAAAGCAGCCTTATCTACAGCTTTAGGAAATTTCACTTGGTGATTCGGATTTTTCGGCAGCGAATTGCTCCTCTCAACAGGGTTACGCTCTTTTTCCTTTGGTTTGTCTTGTTTTAAGAACGAAGCGATGCGGTTAAGCGATATACCCTCTTTGACTTTTTTGGGCTCATCTGGTAATGGTTTCTGGGGTACGCCTCCGGCCGAATGCATGCTTAAAGGTCTTTTGGGTAATTCGGGGGAGGTAATAGGAACTTTTGGAGCCGCCCTTATCGGTCCTAGAGTCTTTGACCCTTGGAGAGGAGATATGAGTTCTTTTGCAGTACAAGTGGATGCTTCTAAAATAGGACTGGATATAACTGGTCTGGGCGGCGGATTCAAGGGCGTTTGTTTTTCTTCTTCCTTTTCACCCATTAAAACTTTTATTCTGTTTTGGACGGAACTGTTAGTTCTCTTTACTGACGGACTCGTTTTGGTGGTAGGTTTGACCGTTGCAGGTACTACGGGTAAAGGCGGTGCCGATCGTAACACCGGCTTCAGCACACCCTGATTCACTATATTTTGACTATTACTACTGCTTCGGTGAACTGGGGTAATTTTAGCGCTTTTATTCGGGTCCGAAGTCTTTTCTATTACAGCGATCTCGGGATTGTCTTTAGCATTCGCTTGATTTTTCTCTATAGGTGTAAGCGAGAAACCTTTGAAATTGCCGAAGAAAGCAGTAGGGTTAAGATTCCCGGTAGGACTTCTGTCAGAGTCATTCCGTAGAAGACTGGAGCTCATATCATCAGGATTGGATAGAGTATGGACGACTGGTTGAGCATTATTTTGACCACCGTTTTGGAAATTTGCTGCAAATTTGCTAGCACCGCGGGAGATCCGCTGTTGTAGACTCGATTTTTTCGGGGACTGCATCCTGCGCATACAAATGAAATAAATTAATCAGTTGGAAATTAAAATATGTTATTAATCAATTTACAATTAATTTCAGCGATTGAATAAATATGTTCAGCGTATATAGAAAAAGAGTTATTATTAGAGTGTTAATAATATACATATCCTGTTTCACATAAATAACATTTTTAGATAACATTATTCAGGTGCTAATGAAAATATTCAGATTAATAAAATTAAAAAAATAATTTGGATTAAGGTAAACTTTTTTCTGAAAAAAAAAATCAATAATCAAGAAACTGATAAAATTTCCCAAAGAACCTAAATGCTTAAAACAATTCTTATTATCTAATACAACGATTCTCAGGTTTAAACTTTTTTTTATTGTGAATTTAGTTCAATTATGATTAATCTACCTTTTGGTTTGAATTGAATACTCAGAACAAGCTCTGTAAAAAAAGGATTAATCTCGTAGTATCTAATCACTAATCAACGAACGATATCTACGGTTAGTTAAATGGGTAACTAATATTAATTTACGTTGTGTATATTAGTATAAACCAACATGCTCTCATGCTGTGTTAGGGAATTGGTAATAAACAAACACTCACCAATAAGTTACATCACCCCAACCATCTACAAGGTTAACCACAACAAAATGTTGCAAGTACAATCACTATTGTGTTAACAACATTTTCATCACAGAACAAAACAACAAACTCTACATTTAAAATCTGATAAATTAGTAGCCATGCCATGAAAGCCACAATGTCAACAAAGATATATAAATAATTATAAATATTACATAACCAAAAATATAGTCCAAAATTGTTTATAAAACATTGATCCAAACGAAGAAAACTAATATTCAATTAATATTTTATAACCCAATGAGAAGTTAAACAGTGTTGTAGTGTGGCCAAACTTTTGAAGTTGAAATTAATTTACCATATGAATTTCAAGTAAGACTTCCGAGTAGCCACTTACTGCCTACTGAAGCGCTTTTAATAAAAATAAGAATAAAGGCTCGCCATATTTCGTATTTGTTTTGTTATTTATGTTCTGTGATTATTTTGTATCATCTTCAATAGTACTAGTATTTGTATATAGTTTATACCACATTTTACTTAAAATATAAATAATTCGATGTCTATTGATGTTTACAAATGTATAATTAGTATTATACCCATAATAATTTACGAACAATTAAGTATTTTTGAAAATGATACAACAATTGGAAAGTTATCAAGAAAAAAGAAAACAGAATAGAGATGTGTATGTTATAATACTTAAAACATCAAACAACTTAATCTTTATTAAACTTAATACATCACTACAACAATTATTTTCATTTTGATGGCAGTATAATAAAAATTACTAAATATTTTTTTACTTTCGTTATTTCAAAAGTCAATAAAATCATATGCAATCCCAGATTCATTGCTTGTGCTAATAATAATACCTATGTTTTGTATATACAAGGTAACTAATATATTGTTTAAATACATGCAATTAATTATACTTTTCAGTATCTTATACATTGATCTTAGTTAGATATTTTTATGCATTAAATTTTTATAAAGGTTGGTGTTTTGTATAAAGGTGTTTTGTAATAATATTATAACGTGTTCAGGTCCCAAAAAAAACCGACTTCAATGAAGGATAACAAGAGGTCAAACCTTGATCTAATTTATATGAAGATACGAGAAACACCAGCTATAAATTTAAAAAAGAGAATTGTCAAAAACAGTTTAGGCAGTAAAAAGTTATGAGGTAAAAAAAAGAAACAGTCTAAATGAGAAATATCTTCATTTTTGAAATCGGTGAAAAGATGCGACCAATGAACGTAGTTGGACTTATAATATTCATTATTAGTATTTAGATCTCAATTTAAACAAACTAGTTAAACTAACATTACGTTTGTAACAAAAAATACAGAAAAATAAACAATTATTTAACTTAGTTTTTCATGACTTATTATAATATTTAAAGCAATTTCAAACACTATACTACATATAAATAAAACTGTAGGGCCAATTTTAAAATATTATCTAATTTGGATTTGAATATGATTTTAAAATAAACTAAATTTGGAGAAATCATGCTATTCAGTAATCAACAAAAGTCCAATATAAACCAGAATAAATATGTCTACTGAGTAAATGTTAGTAACAGTTTATTATAATGATGACTGATAATTATATTTCAAAACAAGCCCCTTAGTATTGCCCAAATATCGAGTTAGTACCAATATTTGTACGATCACATGCAATGTTACACTACTTACAAATATGATTGAAAAGAAGTAAGAATGACATATTATCTAAGTTCGCACACCATACAATGTGGACATAACACAAACATTTATATATGTATATATATATGTACATTAACTACATAACACGAAGCATATAAAAAAAGGTAATAAACTCATTGTGCAGAATAGTCGCAATACACAATTAGCTTTAAAAATTATGACATTCGATTCTCATTGATCACCATAAATTTAGAATAGCTGCTGATAAACAAACTGAACAAGAGATCTAGAATTTGCAAAGTATAACAGAAAATATACCTTTCTCTTGAATGAATATTTAAAAATGGTTGTGATTAATCTATGATTGAATGGTTCAGTAACTTATTATAGAATAGTCTTAATATAGGAAAAATTATCTAATTTCAAGACCAATACATTTGGATTTGCAACAGTTGCTGTTTTTCTATTACACTTTGTCTGTAATCAGATTTGTCAAATGCATGAAATAAGTGGATGTTACTTTTGTGTGCCTGTGTGGAAACATATTCTGGATCCGAAGTTTTATTTGTTAGAAAATAAGTTCATGCTTAATTAATATATTGTATAGTCCGTTTTTAATCCCGGAGACTAATAATTGACAGGTCAGGACAATGTCAAATTTTCAAATAATGTTACTATTTATTTAATCGGAAACTTTTATTTTAACAGCTTTAAATGACATTTCCACAACAGATTTTTTTAAATTTATGTGCATATGCTAGTATTTCCATTACTGTCGTTGTATTTTATACAGCACAAAAATACATTTTAATCGTTTTCGTACAAATAGTAATTTTTACAGTATAAATAAAAATTTTTTTTTTTCCTTTAGTGAATAATAAAATCTATTTTGATATAACAACCGCATATTTATTATTACATATACTTTATTAATTTTGTGTTAATGTGTTTTAAATAAACACCCACACATTACTTCTGAGTAACCTACAAAACTGGGTAATTAATATTAATTTCATTTAAAAAATGCAAAATCCTGGCAACATCGGAAATGTCAAGTATGACTCTGTGATTAAAAAACATACTATAGATGTATTTTAATCTATTACAAATTCAGTTACTTCTATATCTAACTTTTTATTATGTAACTATATGATATCACAGTTTTGTTGTGTACGTAATGTTCATATGCATTATTCGATATATAGTTTTAGTATAACCACAAACAAAACTATTTTTATGTACTTAAAACCAAAGCACAAAAACAAAGCAGAAACAAACAAATGGCAAGTACTTATAAAGTATAACTGGATTTTATCCAGGATAGCATTAACAGATCGCAGATAACATTAGGACTTTGCAATAAAATACTCCAAACCATTATTACGTCCACTAAGTATAATATTCTCACTATTGAATGTATGATATAGATTATTTTTTTACATGTACTTTAACATTAGCATAATGGTTTTCACTAGAGTGAATACTGTGCAAACGAGATCTTTTCGCCGTATTGGCCACCATTTCATTAGTTGTCGACGTCAATCCACCCTTGACAATTACAATACCTGGTTTATTTGCCTGCTTAGCATTAGGCTTAGGCGGAGGGGTCGGTTTGGTTAAACGACCATCGGCGATTTGAATATCATCTTTATTGATTTTCCTATTAAGATTTTTGAAAGGTTTCTTACTTTTAAAAATAACGTCATATTTTGCGTTGAGGCCATTTGTCTCTGATTTATTTTGTTCGTTTGAGTTTACATCGTGTGTTTTAGTGCTATCCCGTTTGAAGCTTATTAACCTTCGCATAGAGGTTGTGATATTGTGTGTGCGTAAGTTTGCAAAGAATGTGCGAGTAGCATTGGTTGTGCAGAAGTTTGGTACATACGATTTCCTTGGCTTCTTCCACCAGTGCAGAACGTTGTGACGCGAGTAGTGGATGAGGAACAGGACGATGACGATCGATGGTATGATGCCGAGGAATATGATGTACATAGCCACCATGAAGTTTCTTTGTACTATAAATAACATTGTATTCATTACTAACTTATTAACTAAAACGAGTGTAATTACTATGCGAAAGTCCCTACTGTTTGTAAAACTGTCTGAAAAATTATCTAATATTAGGAATTCAATTTATCTAATATTATGTTTGTTAACAACAGAATTATCACTTATATAAAATATATGTACCAATAATGTAACAGGAGGTGAGCAATAAAATTTATTACTTCAATAGCGCTCAAGGTAAGTCCTCAGACCAAAAGATCCATTAAGGCTACTAAAGTTAGCTATTAGATATATAGATATTAATAATAGTACCGTGTTATTGTCATTAGAACTCCATTATCCTATTGTACACGTAATGATTTACGATACCCCAGCTATATCGCCAGGGTTTTTCCATAGATTAAATATATAGATCACCTCTATATTTATTTATTGAATTAAAAAAGTATTAGATAGGATATGATCTGTGTGTATACCGAGTTCCTTCGTCTCTGTTAGATGTTTGATATTTATTGATATAAATTTCACAGTAATGTTAGGAAATTCAGATTGACCCGATTCTGATTTCAGAAACTGTCACTGGTATTTTGATAATATTTGTCAATTTGTGAATAATTTGTTATATGTATATTAGTGTGTATTACCACTAGGATCACTGGCCGGTCCGGAATCGAAGGAGCCTCCCGGGCCGGGCAGAGCACACAGCGGTGGTCCGAACCCTACGTCGCAATGGCAGTGACCTGCAAAACAAACGTATAACAATCAACATTTTATCAATACCGCTGATTCACCGGGTCAGTAGACTCCCTAGAAAATACTTGAACACAATTATTGATGCTTTCCTGCAATTGGCTTCAATGATTTCGTAAAAATATATAGCATGTCCAGAAACCCGGAAAAGTAGACATTTTATTATTTGATCATTAATTACGCGGACGGAAACCTAGACGGTTTAGTATTTAGATGTTTCATGTAATGATAACATGCTTGCTTCAACAGCTGTGCTTCGGTTGAAGTGCAATAAAGCAGTAAATTACAGGATAATAGCATGATAGACGTGAGTGATATAACGACGGTTACCACTTACCATCAGGTGGGCCGTCGACTGTTTGTAAATACAATTACATAAAAAAAAAGTGCGACTGTAAGGTTCGATCATTTTTTAAGCTACTTATTATACTACGACAATAAGAAAGGAAATATTACCTTCAGAATTACAAACACCGTGGCCAGAACAGTTGGAGGGAATAACAGACGATTCTTTACGTGCTATCATCTTCCTCACCGATTCCACGTCCACGCACTTTTGTTTCAAACACATCTAAAAAAAAATCTCTTAAATCTTACTATTGCACACAATCTGTATTGCTTTTCAATTGCATTTAATATTAGAGTTCTCAATAGTGAAATATTTGTACTACATGTATGTTCAATAAAATGTCTGTAAAAGTCACTTATGTCAAACGGGTGGTCCAGACTTCGTCTGGTTTGATCAATAATAAGTTTTATCTAACATGTCTTTATTATTGGTGAAATTCTCTGAAAGGAGTAGGTACGTATGCAGTGCATTTAAATTTAAAAGTCACGGTCGCTCCTTATTTTGTTATCCTTCGACTTATCTCATTGGCACATAATAAATACGATATAATTTCAGATACGTGATTTAAGTGTTTACGTAAGCAGTCATAAGTCATAGTGTACAAAGATTTATCATAATTAAATCTAAAATTATTCATTGTAATTACCTTATTTTCACCGCACTTCGCGCCATCTGGGACCATGCCAGGGTCGACATCGCTTAATCCCAGATCTATGATGGCAGTACGGCATGGGATGATTTTTCCTGTGATTTACAATTATAAATTAAAAATATATTTACAAAATCCTTTTAATTTATTATCAGTCTATTTATTACCACAAATAAAGAACAGCTTATTCTTTATTTGTTATGTTAAATAGTCTTCTGTACTCGTCGTGGGTCGTGGGTGAGTCGATGGTCTAGCGGTTTAGCATACCGCTTTACTTAAGATGATCGCGGGTTAAATCCCACGCATAGTGCAAACATTTGTATTCATGATGATAATGGTATAAGTGTTCTCTTTATTATGTATCTAAATACAAAAAAAATCTAAGTTTTTACATCAGTTATCTGTAACCATAACACAAGCTCTAGATGGCGCTGTGTAAATGATTCAGGAATATTTATTTTTATTTATATACTGCACCATTATTATTGATGAAAACAGCGCCGAGCTGGGAAACGGATTCCATGCCAAATTCGAGGCGTTCGTTGAGATGACGGCACTGCAAGAGCCCACACGCGGTATCGGCGAGTGCGCATCGTGTGAAGGTCATGGTGCGCCGGTCGAAGCCGCAGTTGCCCGTCCTGTGTGCATATAAAGAATAAACCCATAATAACTTTATTCCTTATACTTATTATTTTATATAGAACATCCAACAGAAATCGTCCTGGCCGGAAAAGCTGAGCCGCTTACCGGGTTCAAGTATGCTATAATTTAAATAATTCATGCATTTATATTATTTTGTTTATTTGCGCTACAATTAACAAGTGTGAGATCACAAATAGTCACTGCGGAACCTTGATCATCGTTACGACGCTTAGTGAGTCTACACTAATAAAATATATACAAAATTTTGTGGTACAAGTTTTTGATTTTTTGCGGTCACTTAACGCATGTGAATAACAATAAATGATCAAATAAATTCAATAAAAAAAAATGCGACTCACTTGTTTCCTTTGACGTTGTTATTAGTGTAGCATTGAGGAGGTGAATTCTCTCCAGTTGAACCCCACAGCAGTCGACACTGGTCGTCGTGCGTGCGACACGACCCACGCACACAGTACGCCTGACAAACACAACAAGAGTGACATCAGTTACTATATTAAACTCGTGTAATTTTAGAGACCATTATTCCACACAAGTAGCGATATCAAGGTAATAAAATGAAATGTACGGTATAAAAAAAATATATAAAAAGAATTACCATAATCAAAAATCTTACTAATTTTATAACCGCGAAAATTTGTAAGTATGGATGGATGGATGTTTGTTACTCTTTCACGCAAAAACTACATGAAGACATTTTGATGAAATGTTTACAGTAATTAGTAGAATAACACATAGACTATAATTAAAAAAAAATATATGTAAATTGGTCAAGTAAGTGTGATGCAAACGAAGTCACGCAGGTCGACTAGTATTTAATAAAGTGGTGATTATTTTTGTAGTTTTACACAAAAATGGCATCTCTCAGCTACTATAAAACCATTTATTACCTAAATGAAATGTATCCTGAAACAGTATGTTCATTCATTTTACTCTATCTACCCAGTAATTGTGTTGTGATAAAGTAGTAACCCCACTTGTTATGTATTCATTTCACTCAGAAACATTACCTCAAGTTATTACTATTTCCATAAGAAAATACTAATGACTCGCCCCTGCAACCATTTAGTAAAATTGTTACTTATTAAATGTAACAATGTTACGGAATAAGTCACCTAATTACTTTATATTATATTAAACTATACCATTGCATCACGGCATATTTACACATATACGGTGACACATAGCGTTATACATACTTGTCCGCCTGCGCAGGGCGTGGAGTCCATCTTGTGTACATCTGGCGGACAGTGCTCGGAGTGCCCGCTGCAGTACTCGGGCAGATCACACTCCCGAGTTGCCGATCTGCACTGGACTCCCGCACGCGCGGGTCGACACGTCTGCACGAACGCACATATTTCAATCTTACTATACTCTATACTAATACCCCCAGATCGGGGAGAGGCTGTTAGCAATGTGATTTTTGGATATGGTGTTGTGCACGCTTCTGCGCTAACGGTATACATTGGCGTGACAACAGTGAAGCATGATACGATGAGCACAAAGTCAGGATGGTTGCCCTCATCAAGAAAAATTCACCAGGAATTTATCACGATGGTTTCCAGGACGAACCGCATTGAGGTAAATGATAAGGGTTGTCGACCCTAACATTTAAGTATTTTTATTTCTTGAACAATTTTTTTTTTTATTTTATAATGTGGCATTAAAATTTTTTTATGTATTTACATACAATCTTATTTTTTCACTTTTCTAATTAATTTTTAAGGCAAAACAACGTTAGCAGGGTCAGTTAGTTATCATATATAAAACCTATTGCGACGCGTATCAGATTAAATCAAAGTTAAGGTGTACGTACCTGTAAATCGCAGCAGGTGCCAGCCGCGCAGGTGGCGTTAGACCGCAGCATGCAGGTGTCGGCGTGGCAGCATGCCTCACAAGCGTTAATCGGCATCCCCGGCAGCCGCAACCCGCAGTCACACTGCTCACCAGCCTCAACGAATCCGTTGCCACAAGTCGGCGACTCGAACAACCGCTGCGGCTTGTTCCTGAAACGATACAATTACCGGCTTTACACGTATGTTCTTTCACACGGGAATCAGCTTTCACGAAGGACAGAATGTGCATGTAAATGTTAACAAAGATTACAAGAAAGACATTCCCGCTTTCTTCAATCGTGCGTGATTTACCGTCTTTTTATAATAATTCATTACCATTACAAAAAACATGTAACCATAAAGCAAAGTCATAACTATAGAAAGATTGGTAAATAAAATATGTACAATAAAAAAATAAATAAAACACAGTGAAATTACTTGAAAGCAATCACATGCGTAAGAGTGAACACAAATTTAAGCATTCACAATTGCGCGCGCAGGCTTTCCCGCGCTATATTGCGCACTTTTTAATGTATCTTCAGAGTAAATTCAAAACATTTAGTATTGATTGTAATTGTAGTTTGACTAGCTATAGTAAAATATCTCTATACTATACTTTACATATCATGTAGGCTATGCATAATAATCTCCTTTGAACGGCAAATAAAATAATGCTGTATATATGAGTATAAGTTACACGAACCTCAGACAATAATCCATTCCTCTTTCAAAGGCAAGCGCCAAAGAGCTGAGACTGCAGTTCGACCAATGTGTCGGCATCATTGACGTGCTGGAGGGGCTCATGATGCACTTGCCCTTCGGACACTCGCAGTCCACGTCGTCGTGATCCATCCCGAAGTTGTGGCCCATTTCGTGAGCTATCGTGGTTGCCACAAGGCCTATCACCTCGGAGTGATTATTGGCAACACCGCCAGAGAACTCATATGTACATATCGGGCCTTTTAACGCTTTACCGACTACGCCTTCGGTGAATTTTTGACGACTGTAATATTTTAAATGGAAATATAATAATATAATATCTCAAGATAATACACACAGCCCCATCTAGTTCCAAGCTAAGTAGAGCTTTTATTATGGGTTCTCTAGGTATGTGATATAAATACATATTTTTTTTGTTGCGAGGTATTGAACCCGCGACCATCGTAAGTACCTTACTTACGATAGTCCTATTAGTCCTACCGAGAGAGACTTTGTAAAAAGTCATCTGTCTGCATACGCCTGTTTCATCGATTTCAGCCTCAATCAGTTTCCTTTGTAACCTGTGTTTCGGTTGAAGAGGACATAATATTGAGAAATTACAGGATACGGAGGCATGTAATTTTAGTACCCAGGAATGGCAACGCATGAGCGGTATCATGGCCCACATGTGACGTGATGTCCATGGTACATGGATATTTGTAACGCTAACCATTTAACATCAGGGACCATTGATTTTTTGTTATTCTAGTTACATAATAAAAACAGGGATTGAAAAAAAAATTGAGACGACGTGAAAATCATTACATTGGTTTACGTCTAAAGACGATGATTGTTTTTTCCATTAAATTCACGAAGAATGAACAGAGAACTGTTTAATATACTAACGTGATCAAATGTGCATTGTCGTTCGGTATATGCCGCAATAGAACATGTCTTCTGTAGTCAAGAAAGTTGTTGAGCGTTGTGTCTCCGTTTTCAACCAATTCAATTTCGTCCCTCTCGCTCCATACTTCCACTCCCACTAGAGCTATAAAAATGTTCAACGGAGAGTAAACCTGAAAATAGAAAAGGTTAAATAACATATATTCTTTATTGCACTTTCATATACAGCAACAATCTTGATTAGAGAAAACGTGAACAAAGGTGAAGTTATTTCTAAATGAGATCTCAGATATCAACCTAATGCTAATGCACCTTTGGATACTCGTTCTAGGTACATGAATTCACCGAATAGATTAGTAAGAAATAACGTTTCATTACAGTCAGTTTTTTTCTTCCCTATTGGCGTCACTTGATAATGTGATGACCGTAGTGTCATATATACAAATATACATATACAGACGACGATTGCCGCTTTCCACCAAGTGAGACATGTGCTGGTTTACAAATTCCATAAAAAACAAAATGAGCTATATTGCAACGTACCGCATTAATTATGTTTGCAATGTCCTTGAGCTGATGATGAACTGTCTCGACACTCGCATCATTCGCGATATACTCGTTATAATCAGAGACGAGCGCCAGTTCAACGTATCGAGACATCTTGTTCTGATTAAACGGACCGCGGACTAATGTGTCATCGGTCACATCCCTTTTGTACTGAAAAGAATAATTTAACTTTAATTAACTTATGTTATACAAAATTCTATTCATTAGTACGAATAATAAAATTAAATAATAGTAATTTCAATATAATAAATGCAAAAGTTTGTCTAAGATGTCAGATCAGAGAGTGTTTTACTTAGTTTTTCTGTAACATATGTTAATGTTACAGAAAATCTAAGTAAAACACTCTTTATCGTAACGAAAAAGCATCGATCAGAAAAACGCCTTAAACGTTTAATTTACACACAATATATGTTATCAGTTACCTATGATACGTTCTATTACAGAACCTGGGAGATGGGGACGGGAATTGTCAGTAAAGGGGTCTTCCTATGTGACGGCCTGTTTTTTAGGGATATTTTAGGATTTTTTTTCTACGACCAGTAAATATTTAGAGCTTCAAGTTTTTTATCATTTATTAACACATATTTGGACAGTATAAATATAAAATTTCAGCTAAAAATATTCAGTCAAACTAGAGTTACAGCGCTCTGAACACCCCCGCCTCGAAAAAAAGAGCTCCCACTTCCTCCACGATTCCGGCTGATCGGCTTATCTGAAAAAAAAAAAAACGGCGTTTTAATTTGTAGGCTTAAAAGCACGGAATGACCTATAATCAAATGAATATAAAAAAATTGGATTTTTGATAGACATTTGAAATAAAAGTTGCAAATTAGGCGTTTTTTTTTTGTTTTTTGCTATAAAAAAATCGAAGTTTTGATAATTTTCGATTGATAATAGTTCATTCCATGCGTTTACATATATTGAGTGTGCCCTGTAAATTTCAAGTAATTCGGTCCAGCCGTTTCTGAGATACAATGGAGGAAAGTTTGAAAAACACAGTTTTGAGAAAAACGCGTTTAAAGTTTCAAGTCCGTTAAAAACTATTAAAATATCAACTTACTCTCAATCGGCGATGCCTGGTCCATAGAGTATTCCTTCCTCTTCCTCGTGAAACTCTTTTAAAGCAGATTGTTCAGCTCTTGAGTCAATCCTGGCTTGTTTAACGACATCACTTACGCGCCGCTCAGAGCGTAAGATTTTTTCCCGTTTCTCAACATACGCTTGGGCTTCACGACCAACAGGGCATCCCATAATCGACATAACTTTTAAAATACCTTGAAAACCTTCATTAAAGATAATAACTGCTAAGTAGCTAGCAATTTCAACAACTTTGGGACCAGAATGAAGATGTTTAGGAGCGAAAGTCCAAATCAAAGAATTCAAAGATTCGTTATTGTTTTGTGTCTCTGCTCCTAAACAACGAATTAATAATTCGTCTTTCGATAAATCTTCGAAAACCGGTTTGATAGCTTCTTGGACTTGCGGAATTAGAGGTGGTTTATCGTGATGAAATTGGTCCAGTTCATTATTAGCTTCAGCCTTACGCCATTTACACCAACTGTCTTCGCCTTCTGGACAAAATTGATGCTGAGGGTTTTCATCAGAAGAACATTTGTGATAGTACGTTGCCCAAACTTCCTTTCTCATATCTTCAAGCGAATCTGGATGGCGTCGAATTGCTAATCCGTAGAATTTTGTAATTTCTTGGATAACTTTATCAGTAAGTTTACCTGCTCCTTTTCTGTTTAAGTCTGTAGAAACGTGTCTAAACTTGTATAAACAAATATATTAATAAAAGGGAGGCCAGGTATAAAGCCGACGGTACACAATAGGCCCGGTCTCTAACTGCCAACTCACCGCTCCGAACCGCTCTTTCTTTTACCTGCTGTATCTTTAAAACGACTTCGAATTTTCTAAAATCGCTTTACTACCGTATTCTAGACATGTTAAGGGAGCAATTTATGAAAAAAAAAAAAAATCGATTTTTTCAACCCATCACATAGGAAGACCCCCGTAATGGGATTTAGTGATCATATTGCTAGCAAATATACCATATTACGTCAACTTCGACGTGATCCCTCCTGGAAAGCATCGTGGTTAATTCCTGCTGAAGTGACCCAATCTCATACATATATCTTACAATTATATCACTCGACGATGACCCGCCACATATACCGTTAGCAAGGACAGATGGACTATTTCATTATAATCTATTACAAAAATCAATGTACGCAGTAATTTCACTGCCCTTCAACCGAAACATATCATACACAGGAAGCTGCCAAATGATTTTGTAGAAATTCGTATAAGAGATAGCTTCATCACTCACCCGTGTTATCCTACTCTTTTGCATCTCCTTCTTCGCATGGTACTTCTTCAATAGTAGAGGATCATAGTGGATGTTATTAGTGACCCCTCCAAAACCACACTTATTGACTGCATTTAAGTCACTATGGTCATATATGTAATGACTGGATTGCACATCGTGACCTGAACATAAAAACAAATACATGTAATTTTTTATTTTTCCATCAATGAACTTTCACTCAAGAAATGTAATTAGTATTATGTGACTTTATAGTCATATTTACAATTGAGTCATTATTTTATTTATGTAAACGGTAAATACCCTGGTGTAAGTAACCTTTGCCTGTATAGGCGTGAGCTATTATTACGTTATCAATAGTACCACCTCATGTTACAGTTCTGGAGAACTAAAATGTTATACCTGTACACTGTAATTGCACTGACATATCTCAATCTGCAAGAGAAACAGCAACAGCTTATAATGAAGTTGCTTTGCGGCTGGTTGAATTGGGTGAGACAGCTGGGTTTTTATCTATAATAGTTCGTACGTCTTTGTACAAGGACTACCTCTGGTTTTATCATTATACCAAGATAGAAAGACTTATTTAAAGCAAATATGTTTACATTATTCGTCCGAAACTTCCTTATGCACGGGCCCTACTCATACTTGATCAGTATTGATTTTTATACTTAACTATGCAAAACTCTATTTAAATTCGTCTTTAGAACGATCACAATGTTATTGGTGCATTGAATTATTTATGAATTCTTGACATACATACATACAAAACTGTGCCGTTGTATACGTCGCAGTGAGTAATATGACAAAGAAGACTCTTACTACTCTTTTATACATAAAACTGTTTCCCCGTATGTCATTTAGTACAAAAATACCTTCCAAGTTCTTTACTAGTGTATTATTATAAGCCATCCATGGATTACTTTTCCGTGAAACCATATTTGGCCTTTACATATACGGAACCTAATTACCAATACCCATTCTTGTTTTATTGTTCTGTATAACATGAATACCTTCTTTACAAGGTCAGCTAATACCTATGTCAATATATCTATACAAGTAGGCTAAGTTCATTTGCCTTTAGTTATGACTATCGTGACATGACACTCCTGTGAATTAGACTGGAACTAAAGCGACCGCCCCTATTTTACCCTTTCTATGCACACCCATAAAATCAACACAGACAGGGGAGGGCAAGTTGGTAGAACTCTAAATGTAAGATAACGGAATACTGATAACTATCTTAGAAAGGACGTACTGGTATACATCAGAGCAATAAACCTACAGTAAATTATATTACGTGAATCAGGCTACAAAGGCAAAACATTATAGTCCAGTATGTAAATGTACCACGGGCGTCACATTATAATATCTATGGTGCTATAAATGTATAAAAGCGTGGTTATACGCTTCTTTTATATTCCAATTACAAAAACAATACTTATAAAAAATCATAAACAAGAGAGCACTACAAAAAATTGAGTAAGAGTAAATATTTTTTGACACTCGGGCCATTTCTGCTAACATTATATCTATCAGACAGATATTACAAACCCTGTGCTGGTTCGATGTACTTCATCTGCTGTCCATCGTAGATAATACCCCTAATACCACGGCAGGTGGACACTGCCACCCAAGAGTCAGGTTTGCCGCGTACAGTACCAGAATACTGACATAGATCGAGATCCTGAAAACATATAAGTTCAAAAATATTATAGTATAATTTAGAAGAATAATTCAAATATAAAGAAGAGTGAAGAAAATTTTTAGATATTAATAAACGTGGCCAAATTTCGCTCCTCTAACGGTAAGGAGTTATGCATAAATTACGTTACACGAATTTCTTGATATTTTGACCCTACTCCGGTTTGGTTACAACTAGTCACACTTCACACCATTCACTAGTACACATTTCACGCCACACCTGACCTCACAAATGTAGGACCCTTCCTACTTCTTATCCCATATCACACTTTGTCGACCCTCTCTCCACTCCCACTTAACCTCGCATAAGATAAAATAATTTGTTGTGGCAACAGAATGTAGCGACGATCTAATCCCAATACGGGTGGCCACATTTTATCTTTGACAAACGTGCCACTTGATGGAAAATATATGCGACCACATAACAATATATGTAGATTAAAGCTATCGTAACCCCACATGAGGATTAAAAGGTTAAATTAATCCTCTATGCCTAAATTTCACTAACATACATTTATATCCCTTTAAACCGGACTGCAAGTTTCAAAGCAGTCGTGAAACAGTTTTGCAAGCACCCACGTAAATAACTGCATACAGTCTTCATCTTTTGGTAAATGACCAATCATGATATACAATTTTGAAGACGTAACGTTTTTATACTACAAATTTCAATTGCGTACAATCTATCAACTAACCTCTTTTTTAGGCTTATGAATAACAGTCTTTCCTCCAGTCTGGTACCGGATGACGTGTCCTTCGGTAACCAGATCCTGGTTCAGTCTTAAGTCGAGTACATAATCTTCGCCGTCTATACGGACGGTCACCGTCACGTCATTATGATGTCCTCCATTCTGTAAAATAGTGGTATATTTTAATTACATTTTCATCTACAAAATACAAACATTTTTCATATTCAATAATTTTAGAGCAGTGATAATAATTTTTATGAATAGATCAAAAATTTTTTCTCTTTTGTCGTAAAAAATATTAAAATGACAATGTCCATTGCCAATATTGGTTCGGAATCCGCATAATGTCTATAAAAAGAAATATTTTATTCTTGTGCCACTGGTTAGTTTTTACACTGCATTACGTACGTTTTATCATTTTGATAACTGTAAACACATCCTCTATGTAAACCGGAATATCCATGGATATGGAGTATTATAGATAATCCTGTAACTGTTTACTATCACTGTGATACATACAATGTGTGTTAACAAACATCCTTTGTGTTCTGACCTTGCTATTGACATTTGCCGGGAAACAGTACTTTTACGTATTTTCCATACGATCAACTATTATCTAAATAATTATACAAAGAGGAAAGTAGTTATTGTATCGGATAAACTCATTTCATAAATTATTTTACTTGTAGAAAGCAACATTATTAGCTAGTAACATGTTCTATATTTGATTAAAAAAAAACTCGTACCGTAATAATTGTACTCGTGCGAAGCGGATGTATAATAGTTTATGCAGGATTAGTGAATTACGTAAGTATAAAACAAAAAACGTGTCATAACATATTATGCGATTTTATTTCGCCATAACTGAAGATTTGAAAGATATAGTTTTAGATACATTACCCTATTTTCTGGGGTTGTATAATCTTTCAAGAATTTAAATATTACTTGCAGTTAGCAATTTACTTTACAGCACATCCAATCTGCCTGTAAAGTCCGAAACTCACCGTGTCTTTTGTAGTTGAGATCTCTCTTTTTGTTCTGCCATGTTGAACAGTCGGCTGGACTATTCTGTGTCGGCTAAATTCTGTCGCCGGACGTTCTGAAATAATATGAGAAAAATTTAATCAAGTCACTAAAAGATTGACTAATGCTTAGATTTATTTATTAAACGTACGTTCTAAGACGGTTTTTAGTTGACATATTATCCAGCTAGAGATTGCCCGTGTTAAATACATTTAGAAGATTTGGGTTAATCTAAAAGAAATGTTATAAAAAACTTGCTTAAACCGAAAATTAAACTAAATTATGTATACTTCTCTAAGTAGTAAAATAATATTTCTTGACACATTGTATACTACTATATATACAGGCATTTTATTGGCTTTGCAAGAAAAATAAGTATGCACAATTAGATTATAACGTTTATACCAAGTATGATTCATAAATGGAATATTTCGATTTGCATATCACACGTAAGTGCATCGTAAACAATGATTTTCCTGTGTTATTCATAGAAATAATAAAGTCTTTTCTGCCGACGTTAATTAAATATTCAATTAATAACAATAGGTTTCTAGTTCTAGTAGGATAAATTGAGACATCGAGATTTATATTATTTCTACCAATAATCTGAATACATTAGTAAATATACTCAAACTCGGGCAAGTATAAATGGACACCACATAAAGAAAATAATAACAAATTAAAATTCCTGACAATAAATAGACACTTAAATGTATCATCAGGTTTGCCTTGGTTTCAAACTTTAGACGCACTACTCCCGTTTAATATTCATTTACATTGTTGGTGTATCTGTCAGTCATCTAGATGTAGAACAACGACCCGTCTCCGTTTGTAGTAATAACATAAACACCCGTCTAACATCTGCTCGTTATGAAGCTTAATCTCAGTTTAAAACAATCTGCGTGATTAATCTATGTATTTTCTACCTGTCTGTTCTAATAAGTTCTGTTTCCTACCACATATATTCAGACATTTAAATGGAGCACAGTGCAATCAAGTTCCTTAATGGGTTTACAAGACAATAGTAATACAATACGTATCATGTGTATGTCGTACGTGTATATAAAGTAATATTCCTTCCGGTATAAGACGTGACGTAATATTTGTTTAGTATTTTAGATAATTCCAGTTAAATATTATATTCATCGTCATCAGTACAGTACCTATATAGATATACGTATACGTATACGTCACACAACGCTAATATGGTAGACAAAAGCTCTTTGTATTACAACAGTAGCGCGATTCAAACTGTTGATGTATTAATAATCCTTTCTTTTTATCTCGGTACTATTCAAACAATGGACAGAAAACACATTATAACACTATTGTTTACAACTCCTTTCTGCATTCTAAACTAGCAACCTCTCCTGGATAGCACGGGTTTTATTCCATTTGAAGCATTTAGTTTAATTTCGATTCCATGGCATCTAGTCTACATGCTTGGCTATTATTGGTCAGATCTATATCAATCATAGTGTAAACAACATAAACTGCAACCTATAACCGTCACCCATATTTAGCAGGTGTATTTCACCATAATAAAACCTACATGTGAATAAGCTATTATTTTTACTATTAAAATAAAATTTTCTTACATTACTAAAAGTCTCCAATAAAAAAGTCGATCCGTTAATTATTTTTTCGAATGTAGTTAGACCAAAAATAAAACTTACCACACGCCTAGTATTCGTATGTACACGTATTTGTTTGTCCTAATTACATATTTATCGTTATAAAAATTTAGTATTAAGAATCATTTGCTTATACTTGTGAACGAACATGTGGTTTTAAAATTACATTATTATGTCGGTTTGTATTTTAATTATAAAGAGGTCTGCTTTATAGTCGAGTTCATTTATACTCGACTATAAAGCAGACCTCTTTTAGACTATTCTGAAAAAGGTCTTCAGAAGTCAATTGTTAATCTAACGAGTTAAGATAAAAGGAAAGCTATTTGCCAAAATTGGAGACAATGTATGACTCAGAGTAAAATGATTTTCAGTAAGAGATAACTAAAGTACATATGAAATTTACAATTATCCCCAGAAATATATGCAATATAGTTCATTTAACAAGTATAGCGAGCTATATTCATTAACATTTATCGGGATATAGTTTGCATTGAAAACCGGACCAGACCCAATAATATACAGTTACAGAATAATCTATACATTTATAAATATAAATAAAATTGGAGTGTCTGTTTGTAACATTAAAATAACCGTTTTTTCCTATATGCATATGAATATAAATACGGCACATACACCAAAAAAAACACTTTTTACAATTTTTGCCTGTCTGTCTGTTTGTTCCGGCTAATTCTCTGAAATGGCTGGACCGATTTTGACGGGATTTTTATTGGCAAGTAGCTGATGTAATAAGGAGTAACATAGGCTACTTTGATTTTAGAAAAATAAAGTTAAATTCCACGCGGACGAAGTCGCGGGAACAGCTTGTAGTACATATAAATGCAGAGGTTAGACCCAGACAAAACTTTTGAGTCTGAAGGCTGAATTTGTATTGAACAAACTATTACCAGACGGAATATATGCTAAGTTATTTTGTATACAGGTTCTGCATCAAAACTATTAATCTGTGTGCCTGAGATAATCCTGTCTGATAAGAACTGATTTACTGTATGACACTTTCTATCTTACTGATAGCAATGTCTGATCTGATCTAACCAGTTCGAAAGTTTAATACTTATAACATATAAAGTGGAGTAAATTACTGCTGCAAAACGTCGGGTATAAATATTTTTAATATATTTATGTATAAAAATATATGTGCATACATATGGCATACACGTGGCTTGTTTATAGCATATTCTGATTGTTACATGCAACTACGCACCATTTTTTTAGCATAATGAATACCTTTGTCCGTCCTAAGTGATATAATCTAATTCACGTTAAATTTTATTAATAACCGATAACAGACAGTTAGACACACTATCGTATATATAATATTATAGGATGGATGTATGTATAGTATTACACATTTTTATTACTCCTAACATAAATTTACCGTGATACATGTATAGCCTATAACTTTTCCCACACCAAAATAATGCATGCAAAATATCAAAATGTAAACAAACTCACTAAGTAAATATATTTTCGGAGTTGAATAAATGCATACAACATATTGCTTTCAAAATTATTTTCATGGAAAAATATAGGTACATCATGTCAATATTTGTCCAGTTTCCATCAATAATGAGCATACATACAAAATATGGTATGTTAATAGTACAAACGTAGACAATTCTCTGCTATTTGCTCATACTCGTACTACTCGTACTACTTTAGATAGATAACCTCAATATCTTTGTAAATGAGAAATACTACATAGTTGCACTATGCCGGGGTGTGAGTCGGGCAACCTCCACGTTGGCCTTAGTCATTGCTGAGCCACTCATCCCCGGGGACACGTCCGCGGGGAACGGTGGTTCAGGAATGGATGGGGCAGTTTCAACTCCGGGCAACAGGTAATAATATCTTCGGGTGATTGTTACCTGTTGGCCAATAACTGGCGATTAAGTGGGCGGGCGTCGTTTCCGGCGCTCACCCAAATTGTAGATACATGTAAATATCTGTAAATATTTCGTAGTGATAGATCTGTGATGTCTGAAATATGCTGAGTTCGTATGCGGGCTGGGCGGGTTCACGAATTTCCCATTCCTCGAATAAGTCGAGGCTCCCGGAATCGATGAACAGCCCAGCGAGTCGAGGGTGGCCGTCATACTCGACGCTCACTCATAGCCATAGGTATAAATATTTGTACATTTGTATATATTGTATTATTTTTGTAATCAGTGGGGGGTGGGCGTCATTTCTGGCGCCAGCCCGGTTTTTCGTCTTCTTGTTTGTTTGTTTGTTTTTTTTTTTTGTTTTTTTTTTTTTTTTTTTTTTTTTTTTTTTTTTTTTTTTTTTTTTTTTTTTTTTTTTTTTTTTTTTTTTTTTTTTTTTTTTTTTCGCTTTCTATTTTCTTTTACTTCTTCTAGCGGGACCAAACCCGCTAAAAAAGGATACAATGGCAGATTCTAAAAATGTTAATATACCCCAGGGAGGTACCGGCCCTTCATCGGTCGGAGAATCCTCCCCCACCGCACCGGACTTGCCGGGGGTGGGCCGTCCCACGTACTCTGGGGGGGACAGAAAATGCCATGGGGGGGTGGAAGGTGTGGAGGTAAGGCCTACGACGAGCGAAGATAAGTTAAGTAGCCACGCCGTAGTACTCACGCGCGGTAGGAGTGCCTCGCTGAATAACCTCGCGGGTGCAGAGGAGGAGAACATGCTAGTGTCATCAGAATCTGGCAGTCTGAATACAGTAGCTTCAGCGACCATGACGGAAGAGGGTAGATTTTGGAGTGATACCTTGGCTGCTCCTGGCTCTAAGAGACGACGGCTAAGCAAAGCTGGCTCGGGGTCAGACCTCGGCTCTGACACTTCGGCCAATGTCGTTGAAGAAGACGCTGGTACTGTGAAGAAAAAAAAGAGGGAGAGGGCGTCCACCTACTACCGGACCACTTGCTGGAACAGCCGATGCGAGGAAAGCCTTCATGAAGGCTAATAGAGAGGAGCTTGAACTGCGTGCTGCCGAAGAAGTTACAGATATGGTGTGCAAAATCCAGTCGAACGCTACTACTCAAGACATAACCAGGTCCAATGACACTCAATCGACCCAGGACCTCAAGAAAAAGGTTCTAGACAGCTTGGAGGTAATCGGCAAAGTTGCTGCAAGATCGAGGAACTTAAAGGGTACTTTCGTTCACGCCCTGAATACTGCGGTCGAATCCATTGGTTATGCGGTGACAGAGTTATCACAGCGCTCCACAACGGACGAGACTACGCGGCTTCATGCTGAAAACTCTAAATTGAAAAGCGATTATGGATGGTCTCCGGAAAGAAATGTCGGAAATGAGGGAAGAAATGCGGTCATTCCGACCTACAAATTCCGAATTAGAGGAAATGCCAGCCGTGGCTGAATTAGGCACTGAGTCGATGCGGTCGCTTATAATGCGGGATGTTGCCGCTCTATTAAAACAACAGATGGAGGAGCATAATAGGC